GCTATTCAGAGTCGAGGAATCGACTCTTTTGGAGTCGACTCCCCGTCCCTAGTTTGAACTGTGATCCGAGCGGATAAACGGTCTGTGTGGCCCAATTCAAATGAGTCGCGCTGTTTCATTCCGCTTTTGGCGCATAAACATTATATAGAAAATGTATCGAACTCTTCATATCGTTTTATCGAGAAAAATTCATATCGTGATAATTATCGTTATCGAATTATCGCCCAGCCCTATTTTGAACCAAACCATAAATATAATTTGAGAACTAAATTTGGCTGTAACACATTAGTATTTCTGTTTGTTTTTGGTCCAAAGTAAAATCTTTTTTCAGTGTACTTTTATGAATACTGTGAATCCAGACATACTACTCCTTTCACAAACTGATTTTCACCTACTGCAGTAGCGAAGTATGCAATTTGGGCACAGCCCTAGAGTAGACCAGTGGATAAAGTTTTGGGCTCATAACCAAAAAGCTCTAGGTTCAAATTCTGCAATGGGTCACCCATGAACTCTTAAGCAACACCACAGCCCCCTTTGCCCCCCACTTATGACCCTGGGTTTACTGTGTGTCATCTTCATCTCTGTCCTAGTATTATGACTCTTCCCATGTTATTCTCTCTTTAGGATGAGCCACTTATGGTGTAGCTCTCCTCATTTAAAAAAAACAGCATCTGTTAAATGAACAAATGTAAATGTGTGCCCTTGAGCTAGACACTAAATGACTAATTAATGCTAATAATTAAGTCGTACAGTCCACCAATCAGAAGTGCACTCACTGGTTGTTTAGGTTTGGCTGATGAAGCCATTTGTTTGTTTGGTCATCAGGAAAGAGATCTCCTACACAGTCCATGTACACCGCAGCATCACAGGCACAAATCGAGACTAAGAACCCCCGAGTGAACCTGCTGGTCAGTAAGTGGCAGCAGGTGTGGCTGCTGGCGCTGGACAGGAGGAGGAAGCTCAACGATGCTCTGGACAGACTAGAGGAGGTCAGACATACATACACACCTAACCTCACACCTGTCTCAGACTCCTGTCAGGTGCCTTCACACTCATTTGCTTCTTATCTGCCCTCAGCTGAAAGAGTTTGCCAACTTTGACTTTGACGTATGGAGGAAGCGCTACATGCGCTGGATGAACCACAAGAAATCACGTGTCATGGATTTCTTCCGCCGTATTGATAAAGACCAGGATGGCAAAGTCACAAGGCAGGAATTCATCGATGGCATCCTATCCTCAAGTAAGAAAAGATTTCAAACCGTGTGTTGTTTAGGTCTAAAGTTTCTCAGGCTTTGCCCTAAACGCCTCTCTGGTCCTGTAGAGTTCCCCACCAGTCGTCTGGAGATGAGCGCTGTGGCAGACATCTTTGATCGGGACGGCGACGGCTACATCGACTACTATGAGTTTGTGGCTGCTCTGCATCCCAACAAAGATGCTTACAAACCATTAACCGATGCTGACAAAATTGAAGATGAGGTAAATGTCATCAGCTTACTTTCTGGAAAGTTCTACGCAATAATTGGACGTTTCTTGTAGTCGTTTTCTGTCTGATTTATGACTTCATGTGTTTAGGTGACTCGCCAAGTTGCAAAGTGCAAGTGTCCGAAACGGTTCCAAGTAGAGCAGATTGGCGCCAACAAATATCGGGTAAGTGACAGATTTTTCGTGCTTTCTGGATGAGTCGAGAAACCGGTTTAGTATGGAAGCCTTGGCCAAGATTTTCAAAATAAAGAGACACAAATAAAATTCACAAGACCCTCAAAACAATCAAGTACTATTATATGGTTGTGGAAACAAGGTGATGAATGAAATAAATAAATTGTTTATTAACCTAAATTTGTCATTTTACAACAAAGGTTATCCCGTTTCTCAGAAAATATGGTCAAAAAAAATGATGATGTCAAAATATGTTGTTTTTTTGTGGCGACAATTTAATTGTATGTAAACAGTCTAGCAAAGTTCAGTCAAACATGGGCTGTATCCAAATGAAAAGGCCCTGATTCCTTGTTTCAAAGCTGATATAAGGAATGTTTTGAGGACAGTTGGCAGTGTTCCACAGACCCCTGTTAAACTGCTCCTCGACTCAAACTGCTCCTTTTTGCCCCGACACTGCTGTTGCCAAAGCAGTAAAAATTATATTT